TGGTACCATCACAGTCGTGCAAGGCAAGAATAACCCTCCAACACTAAGGAAACGACATTATTTAGTTAAAAACAATGTTGCAAGAGTTTAACCCTGCCGCAAAAAGTCAAATTCCAACGGTACTGTTGTACTACGAACGACAGTGTTTAGTAAAAACAATGTTGCGCGAGATTGCAGCATAAACGATGTCATGGTAGTAGAAGACAGTGTCGTTTCGTAGCGAACAAAGTCGAGCCTAACATGATAGTAGTTGTCACAAAGCTCGAGTGAGATAACGACATCGCAAGACTGAAAGCGGAGCCGTTTAATAGTAAAACAATATCGCGATAACCTAATGTTCAGACTAAATGATTAATATTTTCAATAATTACTTTGGACGGTGTCGTTTAGATAAAAACGACATCGCGGGAGGTATCAACGACACCGCAGTATCGTAACGGATATCGTTTGATTTAAAACGATATCGCAATGGGTAAGAGCTCAGCTAATGGCAGTCCGCTAAGTTCAGCGCCACTATTATCCCAAAGCAACATCGTCATTGTAACTTTGTTCCACGAGAGCAGAATCAAAATCGAGGCGGTTGAGATATGTGGGAGTTCTCCTGGACGACGGAGCAGTCGAGGAGGCAGTTGCGTTTAGGAGTTGACGTGAAGACTACGATGATGTTTGATAAAACCAACCGTGCAAGGAGAGAGAGAAAGGACAACCAAAAATCAACACAGAAACTTCCTTTTTCTCTATAACTCCTTCGCGGAGCTCTCCTTCCAGAAAGGATCTCCAGAGTCATAGTCGTAGCGTAGTCGCGGAGCTCTCCACAGGAATCTCCATAGGAGTAGTTGTAACGTAGATTCCCCAAACACTAAAACACCCTCGTTCGAACATTGTTTGGAGAGGTGTGAACCGAGTAATGGTCGATCTTTGACGGTCGTCTCGATTTCAACAATCGGTGGTGTGTCCGATCAAACGCCACCGCAAGAGTTTCCACTGAGAAACTATCAAATCAATATTGCCCGAGACGAATTCGATACCGGCGGTGGATATTTGGTCTCCGGAAACATGTTCATAGCTAGGATCCATCACCCCGTAATACTTGCGTGTTGGTCGGTTGTCGTGGATCTAGCGAAGTTGCGTATTTACGACAATGCTTGTTTGTTCTTCACGTTGGGACAGTGGTGGTGAGGACGAGTGGAAGGTGGTTGGGTTCGTGACAAGTAGAGAGAACCTATTGGGAGAGAGTGGTATTTATTCTTTCTTATGAGGAGATGAGGACCGATGAAGGAGCGGCGGATGGCGTGATAATAATGGTGTTCATCAGACATATGGGTTTTATTTATTAGAAGAAGAGAAGTTATTGGTTGTTGGGTAGAAATAACAAGAGTTATGCCATTTATCTATTTACGGCTAAATTGCAAGTTTGGTCATTTGAATTGCTATACCAGTTCATGTTTGCCACTAAAATTAATTTATTCCATCCGTAGTCACTGAAATTAGTTACAAAGTTCAAGTTTGGTCACTCTCTGTTACCTTGCGTCAGTCTCCATTAGTACCGTTAGTTAACTGCTGACGTGGTTAACAAACACGCTGAGTCATTTAATATTGACAAAAAAAAACTCACCCACCACATTAGTAAAATCGCCAAATCAGACCCACTCACCCACCTGACCAAACCCCTAACCCGACCCCATTTCTTGACCTTTTCTCTCCCCGAGCTCCGCTTCGGCGTCATTCTTCGTCGTGAACTAGGGAGTCTGCCATGTCCAGATTTGGCAAGGTTGGCCATGACCAGAAACAACAAACCAATTTCCCAATTTTTGTAGAAGTCACAACAAGCTCTCGAGAATTGGCCAGAAACTGCATCCCTGATCAAATCTAAGCACAACTCCCCCCCCCCCCACCCCACCCCCCCACCAAGCTTCTTCCTTGCCAAAAACTATGTGCATGCTTCAACCGGCCTCTCAAAAGGGGGCCAAAATCAGGTGACTAAGGGGGGTCTCCTTAGTCATGTGACTAAGTGTATCTCAGCCATTCAACCTCATTTAAATCCAAAGGCTCAGATTAATCCAATTTAATGGAGGACAATATAGTAATTGCATTACTTTATTATTTTCAATTATTAATTATTTTTTGCCCAGCTCGTATTCCCTCCCGCCGCGCTTACCTTTGCTCTCGCGCCGCCGGCCACTTTGACTCCGCCGACAACTTTCTCAGCAGCGCCTGATTCCTTTGCTGCGCCACCGGGAATAATTCCCTGCCATTCCTTTGCTGTCATTTATTACTTTGCTGGGGAATTTCCCCCCAAATGCAACGAGAGAGAGCTGGGCATTGTTATTCTTTTGCTGGGGAATTTTGGCTCCCTAGAGACCTCCGGCACGTTCTGCTTCGCGTTCGCCGGTATGATGAGCGGGTTGTCGATCATCGGGAACATTCAGCAGCACGGGTTTCGCGTCGTGGTACGACTTGGGCGGGTCGCGGATTGGGTTCGCTCCTCGTGGGTGCGCCTAAGCTGGTGGCCATTGTGGTCAAAGAAGCAATGGAAGTAGTAGAAAAGAAAAGGAGAGAATTTTAGCTGGCTTCCACTGTGTAGGTGTCCACGGGGATAAGGTAATTCGACGCCGGGAATTATTTGTTGGTGGAGAGAGAGATTTGTGACGTTTGCTGACTTATTTTGTAATGTTTGTATAGATTCGGTTTGTATTGTTTGTCATTTTTAGTGACATTTTGTACGGTTAGTATACTTTGTACTGTTTGTCGGTTTATTTTGTAATGTTTGTACGTTTTGTTATTTTGTAATGTTTGTCGGTTTTTTTTGTAATGTTTGTAAACTTTGTTATTTTTGTGTACCGTGTTTATCATTTTTGTCAACCATGTTTGTAATGTTTTTTATGTCTAAAAAACAACCTAGTTGACTTTTGGATGGACCTCCTCTATATAAGGATGGAGCCTCCAAAGTCAACCCGGGTGTTTTTTTCCAGTTCGTATGGATTGTCGGTCTAGTTTGTCATTTTTGTCCACCATGTTCGTAATGTTTGTATGTCTAAAAAACAATCGGGTTGACTTTGAGACGGAGCCCTCTATATAGGGATGAAGCCTCTAAAGTCAACGCGGGTGTTTTTCCAGTTTGTATGAATTTTTGGTCTAGTTTGTCATTTTTGTCCACCATGTTTGTATGTCTAAAAAACACCCGGGTTGACTTTCTGAAGGAGCCCCTCTATATAGGGATGGAGCCTCCAAAGTCAACCCGGTTGTTTTTTCTTTTTGTATGGTTTGTATTGTTTGTCGGTCTAGTTTGTATTGTTTGTACAGTTCATACGTTTGTAATGTTTGTGAATCTGTTTGTATGTTTTGTCGCTCTAGTTTGTATTGTTCGTATGTTTGTATGGTTTGTACTGATTGTAAATCTGGTTTGTATATTTCGTAATTTTCCATAATACCCAAACTACCCCTGTCATTAATTAAATAGCCCTTCCCACTTTTTAACCATTGGATTGAAGTGTCCAGATCTAATGGCTAGGAGGGGCTTAGTCAAGTGACTAAAGACCCCCCCTTAGTCATGGGATCCGCTCTCCTCAAAAGGAAACCCTGGATTGCAATTCCCCTTCACCTTCACAACTCCATCCCTTATCAATCTAAGTACAACTTCCCCAGCCCGGTGAAATAATTCCCCAGCACCGTCAAATTCACTCAATTACCCAAACCCCTAAGTTTCCCACACACGAAATTGGGCACAACCCCATAAAATTGATTACCACCCAAATTCAGCTACTCAACCTTTCCACCCTTCACCCAATCCAAGCTCCAATTCTAGAGAAATTCTCCGACGATTGGCCATGACTATGAAGTCGGTTTCTAATGTGCTACTGCGGTTGTCAGAGGTTGTTTGCTTTGGTTTAGAAATACCCCCTGTTTCTCAAACTCTAGCCTCCAACCCATCGACCACTACAAGCTTCTTTTGAATCCTGTACAATTGCCGCGAGAAACCAAGAATTTTTAGTGTAACATCCCCAACCTTTTCCCGACGAAGATATTATCCGCTTTGGGCCTCCACCCTCACGATTTTTGACTTGTGGTGCAATTCAAGATGACTTCACATAAAGTTCACCCATCCTTGTTGTACTCCACATTGAGCACGTTTAACTTCAGAGTTCTCACAAGAAGTCCTCCATTTCACCCCAAAACGCGTCTTGTCATTTAAGGTAGGTTTCCTACTTATAAATCATGGATCTCTCTCGTGCTTTGTCGATGTGGGATTTGCCTAAGGTGTTACTATGCCTGTCAATTTGGTTTCGGGTTTTTGGGTTAACTCAAACCCGAACCGATATGCACAGTGTTGGTTTCGGTTTTTTCGGGTTCAACCCGATACACACTGCAACGGTTTCAGTTTACCAAAACCCGCAAAACTGAAAAAACCCGCAAAACCCATACGCAGTGCATCAGTCACGCTGTCGTTTTGACTTTGAGAGCAACCCTACCCTAGCGGCCTTCACCTCGTGCCGTCGTCGACTCTTCGATTTTGGAAAACCTAAACGAAACAGAGCGCTGAGCGAGACGAAACAGAGCCTCCTCGCTGCCAGTGGCCTCGTGAGGACCTCCGACTGCCATCAAATCCGTCGCCGGCCGCCACCATCAACTTCCTTGCACTATGTTGGAGGGTTCCAGCCTTTGACAGGGAGGAATCCGCTTCACCACCATCAACTTCGCTCTTCGCCTCGCTCTTCCCCTGTTATTCTGTTCCTCGTCGGCCGCATCTGGATTCGAAGCTTCTGCCTTTGGTCACATCCTAAATCACCGTACAAAACAGAGATGGAATCCTAGTAAGCTCCTTTTTCATTCAACTTGGTATTACTCGATGGTTGGAATTGCAGTAGTCTCTTTTCTTGATCATGGGTTTATGCACTCCTTGTGGGTTGCATTCTTATTGGTATATATGCAGTCATTGTGGGTTGGATATTTGTGTCATAATCTTAAGAGTCTCTGGTTTCATAATGAGTTATGATAGATGATTAGACTTGATGAAACTTCAAGCAATGCCCTGGACAATTCATTGGTTTCAACCCAAATTCTTGCTTTTCAATCTGCAACAACATAAATTATCAACTGGAAATCATATCTTTGAGAAGTATGGTATGACTAATTGTATTGAAGTATGAAGCAATGCAATATTTCACAGAAACACATTTTAAACTCTTTTTTTTTTTCTTGGCAAATCAAATTGGGATCAGTTAAAGCACAACTTTCCGCAACACCCAAATGAATTCCTAGGTAAACAACATCCTATCTCTAACCCCCTCAGAGATATAAGAACATAATGCCTCTTCACAAGAGTCTAGACTTACACTGAGGAAGCCATGTCAATCTGAAATGTCTACTAAATAAGAGTTGAGTTGCTAATGTCTCACATTAAGTAGAAACATGTTATCCCTGTAATTTGCAGCATGCCCAGATGTCTCCCAGAGTCTCATGTTATACATATTTGGTGTTTTGACCTGCCAAATGTAATGAAATTAGAGCAAGTATTTGTCAACGTGAGCTTACTTGAACATGCTCGAACTACACAGCATACCTCCTCATAACCCCTCTTGATATATTGAGATTTTATGAACCCCATTAGTTTGTTGTAAATCTGTGTCCCGTGAGGAAGGAAGAACCAACTTCCAGGGCTGAGAAACCACCGAACATGAAACAAAATGACATTTTGCTATGATCGATGAAAATAAATCCATAAAGGGAAAACTGTGCTCTACCTCAATGGATGACAAAAGAAAAGTTCCTGCTTTGTTCCCTAACATGGTATTTAGTCATGTATGTATTAATTATTGTTAATATGTATAGTTAATGAATTGTACTCAAATCAACTTTTCATTTTGACAGGGGAAGTGAGGGACCATCGGCTTCTCGTCCTAGATGTGGAGGACGCTCTAAGAGTACCAGCATTCCTGCTCCTGCACCGTCTTCCGATCCTGCTCCTGCTCCTGCACTGTCTACCGGTACCACCAATGTACGTACTTCCTGCTCAAACAATAGACGAGGAGACAATTTCAAGAAAAAGGAAAGAAAAGTCTGACGTTTGGCCACACTTCAAGCGTTTTAAGAAGGATGGAGTGGACAAAGCAAGATGCATTTATTGCAATGGTGTTCTTATTGCTCCCACTAGATATGAGACTTCTTATTGCTCCCACTTATATTAGAAATATTCAATTTTTTTTTGTTGGAAACCAATAAACAAACTATAACATGACAATTGTATTTACATTTTCGAGATATTAAGGTTGACACAGATTTAAATGTCATTATAGCTAATATATGGCATAATAAAAGTAAAATTCAAAATAATTTGAGTAAAATTACATATAATAAAGCAAATTAAAACATGTCAAGTCGAGAGAAATACTCATACTCGCCCGCCAGCCCACCATGCCTGCGAGAGGTATATAACCTGCCCAAAATAAATGGGGTAAAACGAATGGGAAGTAAATTTTCACCCATAATCTTATCTCCTCAACAAGACTTTTGTTAATATCTCAAAAAAAGACTTTTCTTCTAGGCTAGGGGTCAGCCTCTACTATTCGTCTAGAATTAGATAAGTCCACTTAAATTCGAGTTAGAAAAACTTGATGTTGACATTTAGAAATTTTATCTAATTTTTTAATTTTGTAATCGACTTATATTTCTTTTTAAATTAAATTTCACGAGAATAACTTGGTAATTTTCAATCCACAAAATATAACCCATTTTTTATATTTGTATATTTCAAGTTCTACCCTCTAGAGAATAGGACCGTTGCATGCATCAATAGTACCATTTTAAGGACGTTTTGACTTTGCATGCAGCCGACGTATGATATGATGATGCATTTAGTACCTGTTAAGGATCCGAGCAGTCCATGAAGGAGTCGGAGAAAGCAAGGAGATGGTGGTGACCAAGATGTCGATCTCCGAAGCTGGGATCCCTGTCTTAGCGAGGATCCAATTGACGGTAGAGAAGACCATCTCGTCTACCTCGACGTAAGCGTCTGCCAGGCACGACCGCCCTTTGCTCCCCTCAATCACGCTTTTGGGCGTAAGTTTCCTCCTACATCCCAGACCTGGATGTAAGCCTCACGCAACTTGAGGAAGAACGACGTTAAACCACGTATCGTTACTTTCATTTCGATTTTAGACCAACGTTCAAGAATTACTCTGCAAGTCCCTCACCAAGGAACTTGACCCTCCCAAGATTGCCACCTTTTGTTCACTACAACATTACAAGTGATTTTGACTTTCAGAATGTCGTGGATACAACGATGTTAAGGTATTGTCAACTAGACATTATGTACAACAACATTGGGATATGAGGTAACCTCAACACCGCCATCTTAAACTCTGACAATGCAAACTTCAAAAAGGTGTTGGAATTCAACCTGTTCGGGTTCTTCCTAGGAGACACAATGTCATGAGGGTTATATATCATCCCAGAAAGGAAAGGTTGAATCTTGTTCACATGCACCATGGCGGCTTCCATAAGCGGCAACTCGTCTTAAGCATAAAAGGGTTCCAATTATGCTATTTTGGGGCCCAACAATAATTTTACGGTGGAGATGGGTAAGTCTTAAATATTCCATTGGTTCAACAGGTGCACAATAATACTTTTAGGTATGAACTGAATTTATACCTTTAAGAATATGGTACAAAGTTAGTTTGGACATGCTTTTCCATACAAATTTCTTTTTGGTACAAATTGAACTTGTATATTCAACGTTATAATACAAATTCAACTTATACCTAAAAGCATCTATAGTTATAAGAATTGTAAAATTTTCGATTAATATATCCATGTCAACTCACAATCACACAATTCATTAGTTTGGATATTGAAGAATTTGGACTCAAATCCCTCAATTAAAACCCCAGGAAATTAAAATGTACAATTTGAATAGGATAACTTGTTTGTTTTATGATCCATAATTGTTTGTTGAAAATTTTAATTTTTTATACAAAATTTAATAGTACTCTTTTTCCCTTTCATATCTTCCTTCGCAATTCGCAGACTAATTTTAACAGTACTTTCTTCACTTGCAAAGTGAATTGGGAAATTTTCACTCATTCGAAGAGCTAATCTTCCCAGCTTCAACTCCGACCACTACCATCATCGTCGACTTAACCTTCATCCGCAAACCTTTTTCACCATCTCTCCCGTCAAAAATTCCTCTCCCAATTCCCATTCTAAATTCTGACACGCCATCATCCAAGTCACGTTGATCCTCTTTCCTCCCTCCCTGTCGTTGTTGAGGAGACTGTAGCCATTACCATCACCTTATAAATCAGCTCCTTCAAATTCCAACCACATCGCTTTAGGCATTCAAATTCCTTTTCGGATCAGAGTATTTGTGTGCCCTACGTCAGAAAACGGCTAGCACTGGGAATTCGATTGGCTAGCGGAGATTTTGTGGTGGTTGATTGGCGACATAAGGAATTTGCCAAGATTTTCAGGGAATCAAAGCTCACTTGATCTACATATCGTAGACTGGGAGAGAGATATGCAATATTGAGCATGGAGATGGCTTTTTTGATAGCAAGCAAGGACATGGGATCTTCTGGCTCTTCATCTCATGACCAGGGCAAGTCCTGCATCAACGATTGCTCTGCTCTCCTTTGGAAACTCATCATGGAGATGCTCCTTTGAATCGATAACCCAAAATGAAACCTCTCTACAAATTTAAAAAAAAAAAAACAAAAGAGAGCGTGGTGATGCATGTTCACTCTTTTATGTTTTTCATCATATTGAATCAAGGACGAGTACGACTATGGTCGTCGGAGACGGTGATGGGGTGGAAGGAGTGGATTTTGGCCGTCAGAGACGCGTTTGATTGAGTTATTCGGAAACAGATATGGGGGCGGCATGTGTGGATAGAGGTTGTCGAAGTAAGAGATGGGGACGGAAGGTGGATTGATGCTTCACAGCGAATTCATAGTGGTGGTTGTGATGGCTAGTGAGACCAGAAGGCGGAATGATGGAGGAGATGTTGGAGGTCAGAGGATGATAAATGAGATGTCTTGTGTATGGTCGATTGAGAAGAGATGGGAAGTTAGATTGGGAACGATTGGTTTGTGTTGTGTCTGTCGAATGAGAAGAGAAGGGTAAATGGGAATAATAATAAAAGAGCATGGGCAGATTGGGAAAGAAGGTACAAATAAGTGTCGAGTTTAAAATTGTCGAGGGAGAGTTTCAGTTATTTTAAAATCCGGTCATTGAGAATTTTGAAATGTGGCATGCTCAAAATCACTCGTTGTAACAGCCCATACCAAATGAGTGATTTGTATAGAATCCGACACGATGGGGAATCATTAAAATTCTACATCCAAACGACCTCAAAGGAAACAAAATAAACACACTTTTATTGATAAATTCATTATTAGAAACCGTAATTTTGGAAACAAAGTAGAAACTTTTAATGGGCCACATACACAAAGAGAAAACAAATGGAAGAAGTAAACATGAAGGGTTCACTATATTATGACCCAGACATCCATCAAACCCACAGAACATAATCATTACGAACCGCAAGATTCTAAGTTATCAATCAAGTGACCCAGCTTCTCTATGAAAGTGTTTTCCAAGTGGGTTGGAGGGTAGTCATTGATACAGTCTTCCCACACGCTTGGCCTTCCCAAGTCTCTCATTACCTCCCAGACCGAGTTATTGCACTTGAAACCCGCCCCAAGGCTGATCATCAGAATCACATCCCCCTTTTTCAGCCTCTTCTTAGCCTCCATATACGCCAAAACGTACCACAGCCCGGCAGAAGACGTGTTCCCAAACCTGAAGAGTGTCATTTTTGCTGGCTCCACGTCGTAACTGTCGAGCCACAATCTCTTGCCTACCGTGTCAATCACTGCCCTCCCTCCTGGGTGAATACAAAAGTGATCAATTCCAGACTTGAGATTGACCCGGACGACCTCCAGTTTTGAGTCTCCTTCTTTTGACCGTCCGACGAGACCTCTAAATCTGTTCCACCTAGACACAAACTCGTAATGGACCATCTCTCGTGTGTGTAGAACCTTAGGAAGCAGCACTGTGAGGTTCTTGGTCAATGCGTCCGCAGCAAATGTGGTTAGTTTCTTGGACAAGTGAAACCCTCTGAAACCAGACTCGTCCTCCTTCTCGAAGCAGCAGCGATAAGCTTCGTCGTCCTCGCCTATGTGGGTCCGGTGCAGGCACTTGAGTTTCAGTATGGTTCGGTTCCTGAGGGTCGGTTTGTTGGTGAAGAGCATGGAGCATGCGCCGGCGCGAAACAGGATGTTGGAAAGCAACATTGACTTATCCTTACCGCCGTACCAGTTCTGGCCCATTACCTCCGTGCTCACGACTATGGCATTGCAGTTCCTGTTAGATTTCATCAATTGTTGGACCAAATCGATTCCTGAAACGCTCCCACTACAGCCCATCCCCGAGATATTGTACACCTTCACGTCTTCCCTCATTTTGTACCTGTCACACACATACATATATATATTGAAAAGCTTGTCAAGAGACGACGTTGGAGGATTTACTTTTCGCCAATAGGCTATACATATGCTATAAAATATACGCAAAATACACTTGTGTAGCCAAAACTTTCGTGTTTGTGACAATAATAGCCACTTTTGGAGAAATACCACTTATAGCCATTTCCGTCCAATTCTTTAACGGTGTTAGCGTTAAGTCTGACTGGACAAACGGAAATGCTGACGTGGCGAGCACTTTCAGCCAATTTTGTCTATAAAAATCCACCTGGATTTAGGGAATAAAAAAATAAAAGAGATATAACGTGAAAAAACTCTAAAATTAAGGAATAAAAATTACAAAATGAGTTTTTCTAGTATCCTCAATTCCCCAACGAAGAACCCCCCAACCCAGTTCTCCTTAATTCCTTCCACCGAAAAAACCTAATTCCCGCTTCCGAAAGCCCGTCCAGATGAAGCAATCTGCCGCGGTGGTAGCTTCGAGGAGGCATATGTTTGGCCTGACCTCTGTTTCTCTCCGCCATTGTTGAATCGGTGAGGGTTGGGGGAAGAAAGAACGGAAGCGGAAATTAACAACGAATTCCACATCGAGATTGGTGTCTGTGGGGCGAATCTGATCAGTTTCGGATCAAGGAAGATCAGATCCGGCTACGGGTGACGGATCTCGCTATCACTGGCCGCTGTTCCGACGGTGACTTGAAGGAGAGAGGGTTTTGGGTTCTGTTCACATTTCCAAATCTACAATTCCGATTGCTTCAAGTTTCTGTCTTATTGAAAGATTCCCAACCACTTCTTCTTCCTCTTCGTGGCTAGGTGGGAAAATAGAAAAGGGGGAATGAAAAATTGAAAATTAGTAGTTGGTGTTTGTAGATTTGAGGAGTAGTGTTTTGAGTTTGATGAACATGGTGGATAGATGGGGAAGACGAAGGAGATCGAATGAGAGAGGAGAGGAAACTTTTCATCTTCTTTTTTTCGTTTGTTTATTTATTTATTTTATGTAATTAATTATAATAAGAAGTTCACTTTTTATTTTATAAAATTTCTGACGTGTCACTTTTGGCCCAGTTGGCGCTTAGGTATTTGCTTAGTTGGCGCCTAATCAGATTGTCGTCAGCTAAGTTGACGGTGTTAAAAACGCCGTTAAAGTATCTAACGGAAATGGCTAGATTTGTCCTATAACAACTTTAAAAGGTGGCTATAAGTGGTATTTCTCCAAATTTGGCTATTATTGGCACAACAGTGAAAGTTTTGGCTATACAAGTGTATATTGCCTAAAATATAAAATATCCTCTCTAGCACGTACAATCTTTTTTTAAAAAGGACGAAATAAGAAAATTAATATTAGTAGTAAATTTAAAAAAATTAATGACAGACCTCCAAGTTGAAGATTATTGGTCACTAAATCAAACATTTATTCATCATGTCTACCACAAACTTACCACAATGATATGTTTACTATATCATTATATTATAGTATAATTTTATATGTGATATATTATGATAAAAAAAAAATATATTGATATATGTACTTCCAATACGACTGTTGCTTCATATATATTTCAATTAATACGAGGTCAATTGAAGTGATTAATAACATCCATGCATGAGATAGTACATAGGAGTGGCGAATCATTTCCCTTTTTGTGGGGTTATTTTCTTACATTCTTACCTATACGTATGTTACAAATTAAACAACAGGGCCCACTCGCTAAATTTACTGGAGATCAGTATATGAACTCATTGGAATTGGAATATATCTTCTATTTTTTGGCGTATATAAAATATTCTACAATTGGATTAAATTAATATGTAGGTAGCTTGCTTATTAAAGTGTTTCTTCTTTGCCCTCGGTATGGGGTGAAGGTTTAACTTTTAAACCAATTAAGTTTTCCCTTTATGAAACAAAAATATATTGGAAGTTCAAACCATCCCTCCCGAGGGTTAGGAGTTGCATGCATCAAGATTCAAAAGTGCAATTTTCAAGGACTTCGAGACTTGCTTGGGGAGCTGCATGCAGCCGACGTATAATATGATGATGCATGCATTACCTGTTAAGGATCCGAGCAGTCCATGAAGGAGCCGGAGAAAGCAAGGAGATGGTGGTGACCAAGATGTCGATCTCCGATGGCGGGATCCCTGTCTTGGCGAGCAGCCCGTCGACTGTAGAGAAGACCATCTCGTCCACCTCGGCGTAAGCGTTTGCCAGGCACGGCCGCCCTTCGCTCCCCTCCATCACGCTCTTGGGGCCGTACGTTTCCTCCGACATCCCGGACCTGGAGGCGGCCTTCACCAGGAACCTCAGCTCTTCCACCCCGAGGTTCCTGGTTCGCCCCATGATCCTACCGGCCGTCATGGCGTCCAGTTTCCTCTCGGCCGGCGGCTTGTAGCACTCGTAGTCCAGCATGTAGCACGTCTGGTGCCGTCGCTTCTCCACCGCCGATTTGCAGACGTGGAACACAAGGAACAAGAGAGGCAGGACGTAGAGTGAAGCTATCACTGACAGAATCTCCATGGCTAACCAAATGTGTTTTCTTTTTACCAGTGTGAGAAATATTGGGTGTAATCAAGCCTCGTTATGATTGGTTTCTACGAACGGGGGATAATGGGGGGTTTATATAGTTGTTAATTGATTTAGTATCAATAATGCTACAATAATTCATTTTATATAACAATTAGTTGAGATAGGAGAAATGTGCATTATTGTGGATACCCTACAGAAGTTAATGAAAATGTGTTGTTTCTTGTCCTTACAACTGTTTTGTTTTTCTTTCAAATTAATATAATATATATCACCTTAAACAAAAAAAAAATTATGTGCCGTATAAGACTTACGAAACCGGAAGAATCAGCAGCCGCTAGGGCGGCGGCCACACACTTGTTTCCCGAACCTTAAAATAATATATAATCTGAATTGGAAGCATGGGTCGGATCAGCTGGCAGCCGTAACTCCAAACCGCCACCATCCATCCACCCACGGCCATAGCTAGCAATTATGTTAAATTCATTCAAGTTATTTTAAGTATTTTCATCGGTTAAGCTTAAGCCTATAATGTCTATATGCTCGACAAGACTTATAAAATATTTTATGGTTTAAAACTGAACTTCCATTCTATAGAAAAGTGAAGTTGTGCCAAATATCTGTGCGAACAAGATTTTCTTAAGAGCGGCAATTAGTTCACATAATGAAAGTATAGAAGCTTTAGAAAGTTTTTTTTTTTTTTCAGAGTAAGGACTAACTGAAATCCATCAAGAAACAATACACATATATAGTTCGAAATTTTGAACAAGAAAGTACTCATGTTGTGTCTACTGATAGGGGATAATCCTAAATTAATTATTTTTATTTAATTAATGTCATTAGTTGTGTTAGTGGCTAGGTGGATCCTATTTTGTAAATACCTTTCTGTTAGAGAGTTAGTACTTAAACCACTCTTCAAGCCTAATGCAAATCACGTAATTCAACCACTTAGATCTACTATATTAATTACTGATTAAAGGTTGGATAGCCAAAATAGGGGGTGGATCCACTAGCTAGTCAGTGTTGGCTGCCAATGGAGTTATCCTCCCCAAACGTGAAGGGTGGCATGCATAGAAACCCAACATGCCAAGAAGTATACAAAACCTACACAATTCGAACCTAGAATGTGGGAAGATAGTAGACAAAACTTTGGACGATGTGGCGCACACAATTACCATGCTATTTGTACATACGATGTAGCTAAACAGTCGACGAGCAGCAGCTGTATCAGTTGCTCCCTCATTGGCTTGTTATGTGTGATTGTAGGTTCTTGTTAATGTAAGTCATTTAAATATATATATATAGATAATCGAAACCGAATTTAGTTAGTTTAATTAAGTTAAGAAAGAACCCTCTCCCAATTGAATAAAATAATGTAATAATAAATTATAGACAGAACCCTAACAATGATTACCACTCCCCTCCTAATCAGCCTATGTAACCGTCTTGGCCTGTACATGATATTCGAAAGACCTCTTCGAAAATTTAGAATGTGGTCCTAAAAATTTTATGCCGCAATTTTATTAAAAATAAAAATGATTACATATAATAAAAAAAGAATACATAACTTTAGAAAAATTTATTATAAATGTAATAATATTATCTATCATTGTATAAAAGTAAAAACCGTCAAGTATTATTTGAAATAAAATAATTTATATTTTATGACACCACAAATTTCCTAGGCCGCATGATTAATAGAATAAGGAAATTAGGATAGTGAACTTCACAAATATGATGGTCGTTTGATGAAGGTGGACGATTGGTGATTAATTATTGATGACTCTTATGGAAAGATGATGATTCATGAATTGACAATGCCTGAAATAAGAAGATGAAAATTTAAGTTTAATTAAGATACTAAATCCAATAAATTGAAACCAAAGAATTCGAAATAGTAACAAAATTGATAATTAGTTAATTAACTAGAATCACTTTAATAATTGTGGTTACTTAATAACCATAAAAGGAGAAACAATGTAGAAGAATTGAACGGGAAAACCTAAGTCGGAAAACCTAATCTTGCGACAACTCCATGGCGGCGCCGCCACCCTCTAATGGGCCATCTCCGACCGGAAAGCCCCCTGAACATAGTGGGAATCGGCGAACGGCTACAGCGACCTCCTCGCCGGATGGCAAGAGTGAGAAGGAAGCTGTGCAACCAAAGAAAAGGGCGCGGAGTTTGAACCTGGATAAACAGGGGGTAGGGCTCGAGGGTGACGCTATCGAGATGGAGACAGAAACGGCTTTTGAAGAGACCGAGACGACAAACCGAGCAAAGCATACATGGCAAGGGGCGGCAGCGAAGCTTTTCCAACAGAACAGTGGTGATGATGAATGGTATGTGGAAGAATCGGACTCTGGGGATGTAGTATCAGGTGAGAAAGAAGAGGACGAAATTTCGGGGGAGGAGGAACAGGACCCATTGTGTCCGACAGCCCCTTTTTCAGCTAGCCAAAAGATACGTTGGAGGACAGAATGGAGGTCGGCGCTTGTGGTTAGGGGTCTGGGCAGGAGAGTAAGCTACATTCCACTAGAAAAAAGATTGAACTTTCTGTGGGCACGGCATGGGAATATTCAGATCTCAGATATGAAGAATGGATGCTTCCTAGTGCGTTTTAAAAGTAAGCAGGACTATGAACTGGCGGCCTACGGAGGACCTTGGATGCTGGGAGACATTTATCTGGCTGTTCATAGGTGGTATAAGGGTTTTAATCCGTGGACATCGGAGGTGAAATCCACGATGGTTTGGGTACAACTCCCTGATCTGCCGGTGGAATTTATAAATGCTGAAGCGGTTATGTTGATCGGAGGGATGATTGGCAGGCCTGTACGGGTCGACCGAGCCACTGATCTAGGAGCTAGAGCAAAGTACGCCAGGGTGTGTGTTGAAATCGATCTAACTCGGCCACTGTTATCACAGTACAAGGTGGAAGGAATAAAGTATTTAATACAATACGAAGGACTTGAGAATATCTGTGGCAACTGTGGGAAGTATGGCGTAGCAAGTCAGGAATGCAAGTGCAAGTCACAAGAAGATGAAAATAAAGAAGAAGAGGTCGAGATGGTGCCAGAAACTCAAGAAATTGACCCAACTGAAGGAAAAACGTACGGGGAATGGATGACAGCGAAGAGAAGAGAATGGCGCCTGCCGAGTCGGGTTCAGAGAAGGGCTGATGAGGGTAGAAATTATATACCTAACAGATTTAGTGTCCTACAAGAAAATGAAACGGAAGGCCGTCCCGGCTCCCAAGAGTTGGAACACCTAGTATCAGCACAGAAGGGACAAGGAAAGTCAGATGCTAAAGGGAAAACGAGTGGGGGAAACAAGATAACAGCAAATTCAAAAGAACCATCAGAGGTTAATGGCAAGAAGAAAGGGCCGAATAGGAAGGGGGATAAGGACGATGTAGTAGAAGTTAATGCCAGGCATGGCCATGCACGTGAGCTGGAAGTAGAAGAGCAACCAAAGAAGTTTGCTGGTGAGTCAGTGCCTCAAAAGTCAAAGGAACAAGGAAATTCAGGAAAACAGGGAAATGATCACGAGAGTAAGCGGATGGAGAAGGAATTACAAGGGAAGCAAAATGGCGTCAAAGCTGCTGAAAACAAGACTAAGGAAAAACTTAATCAAGTTTCCAAGCTGGCGACTCATATTAAGAGTCCGGTCAAAGGTTCGGGGAACCGATCCCCTTTGGGCCATAAATGAGGCTAATGAGTTACAACTGCCGCGGATTGGGGAATAAGCGTGCAGTTCGATCCTTACGGTCACTTTTGCGATTGGTTTCCCCGCATATGGTTTTCCTGATGGAAACCAAGCAAACGTCAGAGGAGAATGAGGAGCTAAGAAGAGAAATGGGTTTCGAAAAAGGGACGAGTTGGCCGATGAATAGTGTTGGTGGGGGGCGAGCAGGAGGTCTAAGTATGTGGTGGAAGGACGATATTAATGCCACAGCGATGTCCTCCTCCCTACACCATATTGACATGAAGATAGTCGAGGAAAATGAGGAGATTTGGCGATTCACGGGGGTTTACGGGTGGTCAGAAGGGTGTGAAAAGTGGAGGACGTGGGATCTCCTGTATCGCTTGGCTGTCCAATGGGACGGGGCATGGATTTGTGGGGGTGACTTTAATCAAGTCGCCTCAGCTGCGGAGAAGAGGGGAGGTAGGCCTCCAGGGGAGAGAGAAATGACCGAGTTTAATGACTGCATAATGGATACTCAGCTAGTGGACATGGGTTACTCGGGATATGATTTTACATGGGAGAATAGAAGGTCGGCAGAAGGTCACATAGAGGAACGCTTGGACAGATTTCTAGCTACGCCTAAGTGGGTGGAAAGGTTTAGCAAAGGCAGGGTTCGTCACTTGGACAGAGTTAGATCGGATCATAGGCCACTTGTCTGTGATACACGGGGGGAAGAGGATGAAGAGCCGAAATGGGGTTGGAGTTTCAAGTTCGAGCCGTTTTGGGTGAAACATGAAAAATGGCCGGAGGTGTTAAAGGAAGCATGGGACTCGCTGGGAGGGGGGGACGCTGTAGCAAAACTTAGTAGGTGCCGTGACAAGCTGGCCGAGTGGAGCAGACAGGAGTTCCCAAATTTTTCAAAACAACGGGAAAGGATAAGGCGAGCATTAAAAGTCTTTGATCGTATGCCCCGGTGGGAAGAGAATACCCGTCAGCGCGAACAGTTGGAAAGGGAGATGGATGAACTAGAAGAAAGAGAGGAAGACTACTGGAAACAGAGGTTGAGATCGGACTGGTTGCGAGGGGGAGATAAAAACTCGGCGTACTTTCATAAAAAAGCATCAGCTCGGAGGAAGCGTAATACGATCCGCCGGGTTATGGAGGAAAGCGGACGAGTTGTAACGAGACAAGAAGACATCATGGCATGTTTGGTTAACTATTACAGTGAGCTGTTCCTTACGGGGGGGAGGCCGGATGAAACCCCAATCCTGGACTCAATTCGAGCAACCGTCACCGAGGAACAGAACATGGAGTTGGTACGTCCATATAGGCGGGATGAAATAGTGGTTGCTTTAAAGCAAATGGGGCAGCGCAAGGCGCCAGGTGAGGACGGTTTCTCGGTAATGTTCTTTCGTAGAAATTGGGTAGTGGTGGGGGACGACGTAGTGGAGCTGGTCACTGGAATTCTTGAAAATGGGCAAATGCCGCCAAACCTAAATCATACACTGATCGCTCTTATTCCAAAAGTGAAGAACCCGATGTCACCAAAGGAATATAGACCGATCAGCCTCTGTAATGTGATTTATAAGATCGTGGCAAAGGTACTGGCAAACCGGAGAAACCATTGCTGGACGGTATGATCTCAGAAGAACAGAGTGCTTTTGTGCCGGGAAGAGTCATTACAGATAATATTATGGCGGCTTTTGAATGCTTCCATACAATGAAAAAGAAGAAGAAGGGGAAGGTGGGTTATTTTGCAGCAAAGATAGACATGGCAAAGGCCTATGACAGGGTGGAGTGGCATTTCTTGGAGTCGATTATGCGTCGTTTGGGTTTTGCTGAAAAATGGATCCAGACTATTATGATGTGTGTGAGTACGATTACATACTCGGTTCTGGTTAACGGCCATCAGTCTGAGCGGTTCACGCCGAGTAGAGGGATAAGGCAGGGGGACCGCTGTCTCCCTATCTCTTTCTGCTATGCGCAGAGGGCCTTTCTGCTGGTACGAGGAAGGCGGTTCAGGAGAAGAGACTAAGAGGACTGGAGGCTGCCCGAGGAGCCCCAGTAGTCTCTCACCTCTTTTTTGCTGACGATAGTGTGTTCTTTTGCAGAGCAACAGAGGAGGAGAGTATAACGCTGAAAAGTATCTTGAAAGCATACGAGAAGGAGTCCGGACAAATGGTGAATTTTCAGAAGTCAGAAGTCTCTTTCAGTGAGAATGTGAAGCCCCATCAGCAGCTCACTATTTGTGGAATCCTGGGAATGAAGAAGGTGGAGAAGCATGACAAGTATTTAGGCCTCCCGACTGTGGTTGGCCGATCAAAGAAGGATATCTTTAATGGACTGAAAGAGAGGGTCCGGGCAAAACTAAAGGGCTGGAAGGAGAAGACGTTGTCGATAGCAGGCAGAGAAACTCTGATTAAATCAGTGGCACAGTCACAATTAACCTATGCCATGTCAGTTTTTAAGATACCAGAAGGGATCATTGACGAGATCCACAGCATGATTACAAATTTTTACTGGGGGCAGCGTGGCTCTGAACGACGAGCTCATTGGATACGGCGGGAGGAACTAGTGTGTGCAAAATCGGAGGGGGGGTTAGGCTTTCGGGATCTCCGTGGTTTCAACGCTGCGTTGCTAGCAAAGCAGCTATGGCGGCTTTACCAGAGGCCCAACTCCCTTAGCGCGCGGATTATACGAGCAAAGTATCATAAGCACACGACGATTTTGGAAGCAGCTGTGGGATACCAGCCGAGCTTCATATGGCGTTGCCTCATGAGCGCCCAAAATCTTCTGTGCGATGGGTTACGATGGAGAATTGGGGACGGGGCGGACGCATGCATTTGGGGTGATAAATGGTTGCCTCGGGAGCCGTTCTTTATCACTGATGCCCCGCGGGGCCTAGAGGCTGAAGTTAAAGTTAGGGAGCTTATTGACCCAGAGCATGAACAATGGGACGTCGCTTTGTTGGAGGCTTGTTTTGAAAAGGATACAGTGAATGAAATTGTGAATATACCACTAAGAGGAAATGGGGAGAAAGATGCTTTAGTATGGACTACAAACGAGAAAGGGGTTTATACAGTGAAAGATGGCTACAAGGTGTGGCTAAGAGGTTTTATGGAAACAAATTAGGTGGAGGTCCAGGGAGAAGCAGCGGTCTGGAAACGCGTTAGCAGGAGAAGCACGAGGTGGGGGGATAAGTGCCCGTTCTGCGACGAAAAGGAAACGCAACATCACATCTTTGGAGAATGCGAGTGGGTGTCTCGGCTGTGGAGGGAATCAGCGGTAAGAGACTGTTTCCATTATCGGGTGAATAATGACTGTTATGGCTGGCTAAAAGCAGTGATGGACCACAAAGACGAGGATACGCTTGAGCAGTGGTGTGCATTGCTATGGTTTCTTTGGAAGGAGCGCAGCTTTTCAACGGCGCCAAACTCCCCGAGGAAGAGATCGTGCAAAGAGCTTTCCTATTCCTAGAGGATTACCGTGCACATCAAGTGCGACCAGAAGTGATGAGAAGTGACCAGGAAAACGCCCCAAAATGTTGGAGTAAACCGGAAGAGGATGAGATTAAAATAAACACTGATGCTGGGTTTCTACAGGATGAAGGAACGGGTCTTGGTGTGGTTATTCGAGGAAGTGGGGGGAAGTTTATGTTGGCAGCAACGAAAAGCATCCCTGGCAAACTTGAAGTTGAGTACGCTGAGGCATTGGCAGCCGAGCTCGGCGTACAGCTAGCGCAGCAGTGTAATGGAAGTAAGTTTACCCTTGAAATGGACAGTCTTTCCCTCTCTTCGATGCTTAGCACAGCAGTGGAGGATCAGTCCGAGACCGGAATCATATGCCGCGGCATAAGGCGAAAGTTGGATGGATTGAATGGCGGAAACTGGAAGCATGTTCGTCGGGAAGGAAATGAGGCCGCACACATAATGGCACACGTGAAGTCCAGATGGTACGAGACTATGGTTTGGTTTGACATGCCTCCGGTCGTTCTTGTTGATCAACTTCTGAAGGACAATGTAACCCCAGTATTTGATCAATAATAGTATTATCAGGTTTCCGATCAAAAAAAAAATGTAGAAGAATTGAACAAGAGAAACAAGCAATGAAGATTAATTGGATTAGAGAGAATAGAATATAGAATATTAGATGATACAATAACTCTATTATATTTATTTATAATTGATAAAAAAAATCTTATCCTTGGTGAAGCGCTTGGGTGGGATTTGGGCCAAGGGTGCTCTTTTATTTATGGAAGAAACGAATAAAAACATCTCCATAGTTTACCGTTGACGCCTGCGGTAATTATGGTATTGTAGTGTTGTCATGTAGGGATTAATGAATAGTGAAATAAATTATTCTTTTATTGTCATAAATAGAAAATAAAAACTACTCACAAAGTGGGCCTTTAATCCATATACATAGCGATGGTAAACAGGCTATCTTGTTAACGGTGTAACTGATACCATACACAACACCAACAGCGGGCAAAGTTTGCTCGGATGGCAATTGAAGTCGACTTATCGAAACCGCTGGTACCGAGGATCAGATTAGATGGCCGGTGGCAGCAAGTTGAATATGAAAACCTCCCTATAGTCTGCTTTGAGTGCAGCATAGTGGGTCATACGAACGTTTCATGCCAATCCAGGGACCAGGGCGCGAAAGGGGGGCCTGATCTCGGTGCCTTGGCATCGGCGGTGGTTGTGGCCGGCGGGTCCTCGCCGGAGTCCAATGCCGGCTTCGGACCTTGGATGGTGGTAACGCGCAAATCACGGCGAAATCAAAAAGATTCCACCACAAAAGGTAAGTCGGCGGAGGCTTTGGCGATCACCAACGGGCAGAAGAAAGATGGAGAAAGGAAAGAGAGCGAAAACTCGGGGAAATCTTCATCTCAAAGAAGTGGGATCTCGCTGCAAAAGCAACGGCAACAGACAGGGGAAATACAAGCGGCGAGTTCTGAGGGGAAAGGGAAAGGTAAGTCAAAAGGGAAAGGGAAAGTAACGGAGGCAGTAGGGTTGACTGAA